TCATAGCACACTAATCTGACCATGGAATTGCTTACCTGTGAGGTAAGTGTGGTGCAGTTGCACTGATTAACGTGTGAGAGCACAACATATTGTAGATACCTTTGTTGATTTCAGAACTTGAAGTTATAACTACCATATTCGCCCCTCTCCCCCAATTTCAAACCTCAACACACCACAGACATGGCTTTTTATTAAAAAAAATTTTTTAATTGGTTTACAAAGAAGCTACAGGCTACATTGAAACTATTCTTTGTACAAAAAGGCAAAAAAAAAAAAAAAAAAAGAATTACAAAAAAAGCCCCAGAACACCCAGAAACAAGAGGGAGGGGGATAGGGGATAGGCAAGAAAGGAAGATACAAGAGAGCAGGAAGAAACTGAAAGACAAGAGATTAGCTTCATACATACACAAGAGCAAGAGAGGGAAAACGGAAGAAGAAAAAGGAGCAAGAAAGACGTAAGAGCATTTAAAAGTAATTCCCCAAACAGCCCTGGTGATAAACGGATTGGAATCAACAAACACAGTATGAAATTAAGAAGTTTAAAAAGGCAACAGTGGTATGGAGACGGGTTATTGCCAGTGTTAAGAGAGAAACTTGTTTTAGGTACCAGAGATTGGAGCACCACCCCTCCCCCTAGAGGATGACAGAGGAGAGACGAGAAAGCAGGCCCAAGGGCAGCTGCCATGGGTGTGGGGTGTGTACAGAAGGGATCTTCTCAGAGTATTTTCCCCAAAGTCTTTGTGCTCTAGACTCTGGTGAAGGCTATGGGATGCCATTTGGAGAAAGGGGTGAGCAAAAACATGAAGGCCTGCCCTTGTCCACACTGTTCAAGAGCAGTTGCTGGAAAAAAAGAGGAGGGCTAAGTAGAGGAAGCCCATCCCCTAGGTGGAAAAGGCACAGTTTAATTCCTGAAGGTGAAATATAGGAAAACACACACCCCAGGAGAGGTAGCAACAAAGTCCTCACTACCTGAAGCCCCAGACTAATCCCTTTTTCTGATACTGAGCTGGGAGAGTCTTAGGGTAGTTGAGGGACAGATGACCACATCTCTCTTGGGGCTTCCCAAGGAAGGCTGGGGCTGTTTGATGAGGAAAGGGTAAAATGGGACAAAACACTCATTTCTCTCAGATGAACTTGTTGAGGAAATCTTTTTGAGCTTGGGAAGTCAGATTAGAGATCTAGGGAGGAATAAAATCAAGGGATCCCTTTCTTTTCCATTCCCAGTCTTCAATCCGAGGTAAGTGAGTCAAATCCTGAAAAGGGGAGTAGGAATTTAAGCTTAGGTCTGCTTAATGTCTTCCTGGGGGCTGGTGTTTAGGGCAGACAGACAAAGAAAAGAAACAGGTCAACCTCAAAGCTGGTCTGCTCACCCTCCTAGAAGAGGTCTGTATCCCAGGAGTAGAGCCAAGAGAGGCACCGAAGAGAGCACAGGCTCTCAAATGAAAGTAATAACCTGCCCATATTTTATCAGCAGTTTCAAAAGCACTGTGTTCCGGGGTTGGAGAAATGCCATATCCTCCTCCCTTTCCTCAAAGCTACTGCTGCCACCTTTCATCTTTGTACATAGTTATTGGCTCTCTTCTAAGGGAGATGAAACACTGTGATTTCAAGTTTCTCCTCCCAACTCCAAAGACTACCCAGCTTTGGACAAGAGAAGCAAAGCTATGCAAAGGAACTCTCACTTGAGGCAGCTATCATTTCCTTGGTACCTAATTTCCAAACATCTTCAATTTGATCCCAAGGTCCAAAAGGCATCAGGGTATTTAAAATTGAATGAAATTTTTAAGCAAGTAGCACCAGGGCTTCCCCCAAAGCAAAGAGGGGCCTGATTAGCACCCCCCAGAAGAACCCCTCAAATAGTATATAAATTTATTGCGTCCTTAGCAAAGATCTGCAACTTCCAGTATTCACATAATGTGAAGATATTAACAATACAAAATATATTCTGAAAGTCAAACACCTGCAGTTCATAGTGCTTTCTCAAGATTTGTTAAAAAAATACAATGCTTACTTTCCTATATAGGATATACAAAAGCAAAAAATATATATATACGTATATAGTAGAAATAAATCAGCCATAGTAATTTACAGCTTTTGTCTCCAACCCTCCCCCAATCATAATCTTTAACCCATATTTCAGTCTATATTTTCTGGGATTAAGGGTTCTATTTATTCTGAACCAGGCTGAGAAACATCCATTAAATTGCATATTCACAGCGCCCACAGCAGCGCCAGCTGGAAGGTCCCTGATGGAAGATGGTGTGAGTTGTTACTGCTCTGGGTAAAAGTGAGACAGTCAACCGATGAGCAGATGAGCATGCATGGGCAACTTGAAAGGATAAGTGTATGAGTGCTTAGCATTACCATTCCTCTGGGTACCCCATCCCTGCAAGGTTTGGTCATTAAAAAATATATAAATTTTTAAAAAAGGCAACTCATGGTAAAAACAAAACAAAAACATCAGAATCAACATGCCTATCAGTTCCATTCATTTCTGCTGGCCAACAGTTCAGGGAAAGGAGATTTTTCAATAAAGAGCTCCTGACTCAAGAAATATAAGCTCTTAAATTTCTGTGGAAAACACAGTGGCTTACTGCCACTGGGAGACAAAAGCAGAAGCTGTTTTACTTTGGGGGCTAAGATATTGAACCTGGAGTTTCCTTGGTGAGAAGGGATTGGGACAAATGAAAGGAAGAATTCAATATAAACTCACTCATAGAAATGCTAATAAACTGGATTAAGGATAAACCAGCAGCTTGCCACCCAAAAGAATCATCAATTAGCCATCAAAAACCTTGAAGCACTCAGCATTGTTAACCTAGTTTATATGTGATAATTCTACATTGGAGGAGATTCCATTCCTTGAAATGCTCAAACAAAATACTACATACTCTCATGAGTTATCCTGTCCCAAAATACATGATTACAGACATAAAAGAATAGGTTCTGAGTTCTGCCTTTTAGTGGAAAAAATGAGTTTCATAGTGGCTGGGAATGAATGACTTTTACTTCAACATTAATAGAATTAGATCTGGGAAAGTTCCTTGCAAAGTTCCTGAGTGTTGAAAATAATATTAAGTTTGTGAGGAAGGACCAAAGGAAGTAAACTACTGTTTAGAATATGAACAGTTATTCTATTTCAGGTTAAACAACAACACAACTTACCCAAACCCTAATTTAAATGGATTTTATATAAAATATATAGTAGAATCATAGCATCCTCTATTTGTAGCCAAGGTAAAAAGACTTATGAAAAGAACAAAGACTCTGCTATAGACCTGGATGTTGGTTTCATTTTCAAATACAAAAACAGCTTCCTCTTTTAAAAGTGCAGTAAAATATCCCCCATTCATAATTATAATTGATTTAGTAGAAACAAAGAAATGACCTCAGGAACATACCCAGGTTTTCAGATAGATTGCTAGGTAATGGGCCTGAAAGGCATTTTGATCTGGATTTGATTTACTTTCCAACAATTTCAAATATAATTTTCATCTGTGTGTAGATAATACACGAGGGGGCTGCAAAAAGTTCATGGGAAAACTCTTCTCTTTTAATTCCATTTTTCCATGAATTTTTTTAATCCCCCTGGTACAGGCACAAACACACATTCAAACACAGTCATACACAAAAATTTCACTTTCTATCAGATCAGGGTAAATTTTTATTGCAGGTCTCTTTTAGTATTGGCTAACAGAAAACCTATCCCCAACCTAACAGATTACACACATACACACAGCCATTTAGTTTCACACTTCCTCACAGTGAACAGCTCTCCGATAAGATACCAGAAGGTCAAGAGAGACAATGATTTAATGGCTGGGCCTTGAGGACAATTCTGACTGCATTTACACATCTCAGTGCCAACTGCACCAAGAGTTCCCTGCCGCTATAATTTTTGGATCAGTCTCTTCTGGAATCAGGCCATGAAGAAAGCAGGATGATTTCTCCCAATCTTTTCTTTAAACCACAGTGGTAAGACAAGATTTCTATTTGTTCTGGGCTATCACTCCCATGATCCTGTGCTTCCTTTTCCCTTAGGAACTACCCAAGTACATACAGGAAGAATTAAGGGAAGAGAACATAAGAACCACTGCCTTGCCACCTAGTATATGCTCTGGAGTTCTATAGAATGGAAACCCAGAACAGATTCATTAGATGATGCTCCTTAGTAACACAATGGGAAAACAACTCCAAGGATGTTCAAAAAAGGAAGTGAGCTACCTTGGAAGGAAGACAACTATACAAAAGTCCAAATACTCCACTAACTCCTGAACCCAACTCCTTGAATCATCTCCTCTTCTGAACACATCATTCTCCTACTGAAAGCCCCTACCTATTATTTACCCATTTTTTGAGTTTATTCATTCCGACCTCAGATTATCACCTACAGAGGGTTTCCTGTCCAGTTACATAAAAGAACTTCTGAATCTCAATGCTTAGAGCAGCGAGGGAAGGGAGATGCCTTTGACTCTCCAGCACCAATAGGGTGCCTTCGTTAGCAGTTTTTTAAGCACTTCCTCCCAGAGCTACCTCCAGCATCAGCCTGGGAGGCAGGGCTTCTCTGTTCTGTTGTTAGAACCAACAATTTAAAAAGATAATATTGACAGAAGAGTCTCATCTAGGGATCACTACCAAAAATATAACATGAAGTGATTTAAGTATGAGAAGGAGAGACAGAAAGGGTTGAGTCAGGAAAGGAGTGCACGTAGCTGATCCCAAATAAAGACAAAATTTAAGAGAGGAAAAACATTATGTATGTATATATAAACTAAAAGCAGAGCATATGAATGCTTAATCTGGTGGGAAGCCAAGACAACATCTATAGAAAAGCTTGATGTGTCACAACAAGGCTCAGCCATAGAGAAATAAGGCAATATAAAAAATGACCAAGGTATTTTGGTCACAGAATGGTCTCCTTCCACCTCCCAGCCAACCCCTGTGAATGCATCTCTATATATCTTTATATATATATATTTATATATATAATATAGAATCTGTTTTTTGTTAAAAAGTATTTCAATGATCATATATATTTATCAAGGCATGATGGCTTTAGGAAAGGGAAGGGGAATCCATCATGGGGGAGCTGAGATGGAAAAGGCAGGAAGGGAAGGCTGGGGTAAGAAATGTAAGGGAAAACTGTCTGGGGTCAAATAAATGCTCATCAAAGGGTGACACCAACAGAATTTTCACTAATGTTTCCCACGTCAAGGAGACACTGATGATATAGGTGAGTGCCAGGACCCCATCTCTTCTCTTGCATTCCTTTCCCAATTCTTCCCACCACCATGCATTTTAATGCCTCATGGCTCTCTCTCCCACATGTCTCTTGGACCCATGCTACCTTGCATCCCGGGGTTGATGGGTATGGCCCATATGTCTCTGGCCCCGGGTGCCTGATCTCAGAAGCCATTCCCACTGATATTAATGGACTGCAGATCCGCCACCTGCATGACGTTGATGCCACTGTTGGCAAGACGGGCAATACCCTCCGGACAGATGGCCTCCATGGCTACCATGTTGGTGGTAATAAGGGTCGAAGAAGTGGCAGTGCCACTGCCTTCTGAGCCTGCCCCACTGTCCAGGGGCAAAGTGCCCACACTCAAGGCCACCCCTGGGCCCCCTTTCTTATTCTGGTGGGTCTTGATATGCTTTGACAGATGGTCACTCCTCATGAAGCGCTTGGGACATTCAGGGCAGGCAAATTTCTTCTCACCTACATAAAGGATGAAAAAGAAGGTAAGAAGTTGACATAAGAAGTGTGGGTGTCTTATCCAATTCACAGCCCTAAACAATATTAGGTACAAAAAGGTGATAAGAACAAAAGAAAGCTACATCTTTAGCTTTTTAGGGATGAAAACTAGACACAGGATGGGAGAGTACTTATTAAGGAAGGTGGAACTTTAACAGTTAAATAAAGCAAAACAAAAACTATGAAGAATAATGGACCAACTTTTCCCCCTTCAAAATCCGACTCAAAACCTAGCGTCTTCCTTCTTAAAAGTTTTCCAAATTAACCCCAATTCCATTTGTAACTTATATATTCAGATTCATATGTACATGTTTCTTAATTTTTTACTTATTTCGTAAGTATATTTTATGTCTTTCCATTCTGGTTTCTTACTATTTCTCTCTTCCTCTAGGCTTCTGCTCACCTGTGTGTGTACGTTTATGCCTCTGCAGCTCATCCGAACGTGTGAAACGTTTTCCACAGTATGACCAGGTACACATGAATGGTCTCTCGCCTGTGTGCCAGCGCAAGTGTGCCCGTAGGTGTGAGGTCTTGCCATATACTTTGCCACAACCTTGGATGTGACAAATGTGCTGCTTCTTTTTGCCAGGGTCCCCAGAGCCCCTGCAAGTAAAGACAGTATTTATCATTTATTCTAGAGAAAGAATTAAAGAACCACAAAGCATCAACTGTAGTTTTTTTAAACCACTCAAAACTAACAAAATTATTATTTAAAAAAAGAAAAAAAGGTAGAATCCCTACTGAATAGTTTTTATGTTGTCTAGATGGGTCTGGTGAATAGAGATTGGGACAGGATTCTCTTGATTCAATAGTGAGCAACTATTATCATGACTAATTGCGATTGTCACAACTGTAAACATAGATGTTTTGTAACATAAAAGGGGGAGTAGTTAATCTTACATCCCAGGACCATCAAGGGAAAAGAGCATGGCATGAGTGGAATATGGGACCCTAACTAGAGACAGAAGCAGAGATGATGGCATGGAGAGACAGAGCATCTGAGGACTCTAGACTCGTGGAAAGACAAAGACTGTGTGCTGGCAGCCAGGAGGCAGGTTTGCAGAATGAGCCCTTTGGTTGTTTAAATGATCATCTATTTCTTAGTGTTTTTGTGTACATCAAAAAAACAAAGGAAATAGAAGCAAATGCTGTTAAATGATGATGCATGGAGGGGATGGTAATCATTGCAATGAAACAAAATACGATAGGTTGAGTGCAAAACCTATGCTCCCCCACGTAAACTATCACTCAGTTCACAATAAAAGCATTGAGAAAAAAAAAAAAAAAAGCTAAAAGCTTTCCTTTAGTAATCAGAATATAAATCTTTAGTTGATTCTGGTTCTTAATAACCAAAATTCAAGTTGTAGGTTTCTTCACTACTGGATATTTTCTCTTTCCTGTTGCTTAATTAATTTTGAAGTTAGAATATTTGAAGAGCCAATTACTCTCATGGGACTTGTACAGTTTGTGAGGCATTTTCTTGTATTTTTTCTCAATCCAAGCATTTTCCACAGGAAATACTGTGAATATAGTGATATTTTTGACTGAGAACTTACTTAATAATCAAGAGGTTCTTTCTTTTTAAGACTTACTAGTAGAGAACTTTATGGGAAATATACAGAACATGAAGACTCAAAGCTGAAAAGTTGGGACAATACTAAAGATTTCAGAGAAAAAACAACTGGATGACATACAGACAAACCCGTAAGTACAAGCCAAGCCCATACAGTCTACTATATTAAAAATTTGAGGTACAACAATGGTTCATAATAGCAAAGAGGTGCTACTTTGGGACACACATCAAACATTATTATTATTACTCTATTTTTATGTTAAAGATGTTTTCAGTGTGTCTGGTGTGGCCCTGCCAGTTGGTTAATGCATGACACTGCAAGGTCGGTGGTTCAAGCTCACCAGTTGCTCCTTAGAAACCCTGTACAGGGTCACTATGAGTGGGAACCAACTCATGGAAGGTAACAACTACAGTGTGTCTGGAAGTGTATTTCTAATATTTTCATGCAGTAGAAAGGTACACTACATACTATATACTAAAATAAACATTTGATGGCTGTTTGATATAAACCATACCTAACTGTTCTGATATATCCTCAAGATGTCAGCTTGAGGACTAAGGTGCGCCTGACCTAAGCTATGGTATTTTCAATAACCTCATATGGATGCGAAGGCTGGACAATGAATAAGGAAGACTGTAGAAGAATTGATGCCTTTGAATTACGGTGTTGGAAGAGAATACGAAAAGTGCCATGGATTGCCAAAAGAACCAATAGATCTGTTTTGGAAGAAGTGCAGCCAGAGTGCTCCTTAGAGGCCAAGACGGCCAAACTTCATCTCTCATACTTTGGACATATTGCCAGGAGGGAACAGTCGCTGGAGAAGGATATCATGCTTGGTAAGATGGAGGGTCAGAGAAAAAGAGGAAGACCCCAGATGGCAGCATTGATGGACTCAAGTGTGGCAACAGTAGTGAGGTTGGCCCAGGATCGGACACTGTTTCGTTCTGCTGTGCATAGGGTCGCTATGAGTCGGTTCCGACTCGATGGCACCTAACAACAACAACAACTGTTCTGACATATATACAAATTCGACTTAAACACTGCTTTAGGATTGGAACACATTCATAATCTGGGGACTGCCTGACTGTAAAAAAGTATTCTCTATATAAAGCAGATCCCAAGATCTTTTCAAGAATTAACTCTGATGTTTTTTCTCCCCAAACCAGAATCCAAATACAAAGTGGAAAAAAATTAGCCATTTTCCTGGGGAGAAGAGATCATCAGTGCTTTGTCAGTTACCCTTGCCAGGACTGACAATAACCAAAGATGGGCGAAGACAACAAGTGGAAGCTGGGAACTCCCACAAGGACCAAGTATTTTTTAATTACTCAAACTGCGAGCTTAAGACCCAAAACCCCTTTAGTTCATTGTTGGCCATAAATTAGTCCTAAATTAGATGAGGGCCTGTAATGTTGCTCCTGGGGACCTTTGGAGTTTTCTGGAACCTGGTGACTAGAGTCTTCCTCATCACTGCACCAAATGTGATGGGCACTCACTAGATTGTTAACAGTGCTCAAATATAAGCCATTTGGTCATTAAAAAAAGAATTCGTTTTGAAACGTTTTTTGCCAAGCCAATTTATTCCATGTGTAACATATTACTGGGTTCTAGGGAAATTTCCAAGGAGTATTTTTCTTGGACATAACAGCATATACAAGGGGGCTTCAAAAAGTTTGTGAAAAACTGCACTGAAAGATAACAGAATTTTTCCACAAAATTTTTAAAGCGCCCTCATATTAGCAGTGGGGTAAAAACCCTAATGGAAATAAAATCACAATTCTGTAGAAATCAGAATTTCCTTCAGAAACTTAAATGCACTTTAAGGTCTGTTTGAGGGAAACAACTTTAACTCAGTACTTTTGACTCAGGAAGACGATCTGCTTTTCTTGTAACTTAGGGTAACCTATAAAGAATGCAATAGAATTTTTGCTTTGGTATTTTTCCTTTTTATTATATTTTTGTACTTATTTGTATCGGGACAAAACTTCAGCAGATTTCCAAAGTAGCCTAATTAACTCTTCTTATTCTCTTTTAAAAGCAGTGACTAAAGGGAAAACAGAACTCGCTTAAGATTAAAAACAGGTGTTACTAATGAAAAAAAACATCAGACCTTTGCTCTGCAGGACACTTCAGATTCCCTAATGGAAATTTTTCCTACCAGGATTAAGCATTTTTGTCTATTTTAAAAGGAAAGAAAGACTGAAAAAAGTCACAATTCTTACACAGCTATTATAAAAAACTCATTATAGTAGATAGGTTGGGGAAGTTTCATTTTCTTTACAAGGCTGTTTTGCAATCAATTTTGTTAAACTCATTTCAAATCAGCTATTTGGTAACAAGTATTAGCCTTGCTAGAAGTCCTGGTGGTGCAGTGAGTTACACATTAGACTGCTAAGCACAAGTCAGCAGTTCAAATACACCAGCTGCTGCGTAAAGATTTACAGCCTCAGAAATCCTATACAGGGTAGCTGTGAGTCAGAACCAACTCGATGGCACCCAAGCAACCATTAGACTTCTGATGCCAGTCCTGGTGTGGCACTGCAGGATAAGCATTTGACCATAAGATCAACGATTCAAACTCATCAGCAGCTCCTCAGAAACCTTTAACAACAACAAACTGAAAACAGGTCCTTATTAAGGTTTGGGGTCTTAAGAGCCAATGAACACATTTGACCTAGCCTCGATGGCTTGTTAATCAGAACTCGACTAGAGGAAGATTATAAAAAAAAAAAAAAATTTTTTTTTTTTTGATAAAGGAAACAAGGGCAAATTGCTACAATTTGATGAACTTGACCTATACTCATGGAGGTGGTGGTTATGTGCCGTGAAGTAGGACCCAACTCATAGTGACCCTATACTGGGTTTCCGAGGCTGTAAATCGTTATGGAAGCAGAAAGCCTCATCTTTCTCCTGCGGAACAGCTGGTAGTTTCGAACTGCTGACCTTAAGGTTTGCAGCCCGATTTGTAACCACTATGCTACCAGAGCTCCTATACTCATGGAGGTAGTAACTCTAAAGGACTCTTCACATCAAATATCAATGCTATCTCCTCTGTACACAGGGTAGATAGGAACGGGCAACTTAGACATTTGGCTATCTAAAATGAGGGGGCGATAAAGGCATGAAGTAACTGGCTTACAAGGTTTCAAGGGGAAGTTTAGTTTAACAGTGTAGGGGGGCAGAAAGAATCCCCACTGAATAATTTTCATCTTGTCTAGATGGACTCAAGCATGGCAACAGTATTGAGGTTGGCCCAGGATCAGGCAATGTTTCATTCTGCTGTGCATAGGGTCACTATGGATCAGTACCGACTTGATGGCACCTAACAACAACAGATGGGTCTGGTTAAAACAGATGGGAGATAAGATTCTTATGATTCAATAGTGAGCAACTGTTACCATGACTAATTGCAACTGTCATAATTGTAAAGGTACAAGTTTTGTAACAAAAACGGGAGTAGTTAATCTTAACAGTCCAGAAACAGAGGACCCTAGGACCATCAAGGGAGAATAGCACTAGCAGAATGCGAGACCTTATCCAGAGAAGCAGCAACACCAGAGATGGAAGCAGAGATGGGGACATGGAGATAAGGAGCAGCTGAGGACTCTAGATTCATGGGAAGAGAGGGACTAAGAGATGGGAGCCAGGAGGCAGACTTGCAGAATGTACCCTTTGGTGGTGTAAATTATTATATATGTGTCATTATTTAAAAAAAAAAAAAGCTAAAGTGAATAGAGAGAAATACTGGTAAGTGATGGTACATGGAGAGGATTATTATCATTGTAATCAAACATCAAACAAGGTATACGATCTGCTGAATGTAAAACTGATGATCTGCCCTGTAAACGTTCAATTCACACACACACAGATAGAGAGAGAGACAGAGCTAATGAAACAGCTAGCACTGAAACCAAGATCCTATCCTGTAAAACCTACTAAAAATGTACCATCTCTGATCCATTTGCAAAGTTGCTGAGTCTTAAATATCAAAAAATTAATCCACTTCCTCTTATCTCCAAACCCATTAAATGCTCCCTTTTATACTCTTAAGAGACTAGGTGGGTAGCCTCACCTTCCTTCACTGTCTTTACAGTAGGGACAGGTACATGCTTCTCGCCGGTTCCTCCGACCAGGTTGAGGTTGGGGATCTGGGCTATTTTCTCCTTCCTCTCCACCTGCTGTGTCATCATGCATTCCATCACCACCAGCCCCATGGAGGCCAAGTTGAGCTCCATGATCACCTGAAATTAGGAGAGAAGAGTCAAGATGGGAAGTAGAGGAGGCCATTACAGCTTCACGCATTTAAGTGACACCCTACATTCAAAGACCATTTCTTTAAAGTTTTGAAGTCACATTCACTGATATTCAATGCTTGGAATCTAAAGAATCACCTTTGAAAACAAGAACAAATAAATGAAAATATGGCCAATCTCATTCATAATTTTAAAAATGGAACTCTACTTAATAAAGAATTTTTATGATTCTTCATATGTCATTCTAGCATACACAACATTGGTTTAAAAAGGCATTTTCATATGCATCTGGTGTTAAATTGGCGTAACCTTTGTGAGGCCAATTTGGCAACAATACTAAGATTTTAAATGCACATCTTTTTCGAACCAGCAATTCTGCTTAGAGCCAGCAGTGTCCAATGGATATACTCATGAGCACACAAAGGTATGCAATCATGTTTTTTGTAGATTTATAAAAAAACAATAACTAGAAACAATCTGTTGTTGTTATTATGTACTGTGCTAAATGTATACAATTAAAGAACTAGGTTAAGGAAATTATGATAAATTTATACAACAGAAGACTATGTAACTACTAAAAAGAATGAGATAGTTATATAATGTTGTAATTAATTGCTGAACAAATTTCTTACTCCCAGGTATCTCCAGAGCTTAAAAGTACTATAGAACCAACCAAATGGAAATGATTGAAAACATGACTTTAAAACTCCAAACTAGAAACCATACAAAACTTAAGGCAGCATGGTATAGGAGAAAACTCATCACTCTGCCTTGCCAAAATGAGCAAAATTATGGCTGAACATCCAGCAGAGAATATTGTGTTACTGAGTTGCTTCCAACTCATAGCAACCTTGTATAAAGTTTCTGAGGAGCAGCTAGTAGATTTTAACTTGCAACCTAGTGGTTTGCAGTCTAGTGCTTATCCTACAGTATCACACCAGGACTCCTTCAGGGAACAGTATATGTGTATTTTCAATTCTGACATAATGAGGAAAGAAAGGGAAGAGCTGAGATTAAAGTTAATGCTATTATGTTGTTGCTGTTAAGTGCTGTTGAGTAGTTCCGACTCATAGACACCCTGTATGGGGTTTCCAAGGAGCAGTGGTAAGCATGAACCACCAACCTTGCGGTTCAAATCAAACTTGCAGTCCAGTACAATAACCCACAGAGCCACACCAGGACTGCTAACTCCGTATGGTGTTGTTATGTGCCGTGGAGTCGGTTCTGACTCATAGCAACCCTGTACAGGGTTTCCAAGGCTATAAATCTTTACGGGAGCAGAAAGTCTCATTATGCCACAGAAAGGTTTTGATTCAAAACTGGATGATTCGTTAAATATTAGAAAGGGAGGAAAAAGAATGAGCATATAAGCTAAGGTTACCTGATATCACTTGCTTTTAAAGATAAACCTTTATGTGAACACTCACTATATTTTCTCTCCTGGTTAGTAAAAAAATTTGACATTGTAACCTGGCACATATAGACTTAACTGAAACAAAACTTCCACAAATACTTTCTCTTACTATAAACTGTATATTCTGAGATTTCCTAGATCTTCCAAATTCATCCTAGTATCAGCTATTTAGTTACTCAAATTTTTTCCCTTAATGCTTGTCAAGATCCAGTATATATTGGTTTCAGGAACCACTAATGCGTCACACCTGACATTTGAAAACACTGCTCTAGGCCAATGACTAAAAGTAATGTTTCATAAAAACAGTTAAACATTTTTCTCTAGTTTTCAAAACATCTAATGTCAGTAAGTATTCACTTATAAAAGCAATCTGTAAAACAAGTTAATGGCTATCGATATTTTAGATTCCTATAAAGGGAGGGTTTTGAACTGGCTTGTATACTTTTATTATATATTTTATAAAGAAGAAAATGAATAAATGGGGGTAAGTCAGGCTTAGTTTTACACTGTATCTAATCCCCACATCTTGAAGCTTATCAACATAATTTTGAGTTACTATGCCTAAAAAATTAAGGAACATAGTGGTTGTGAGTCGGGCTGCTAACCTCAAGGTCACCTAGTTTGAAACTACCAGTGTTTCCATGGGAGAAGAGATGAGGCTTTTTACTCCCATAAAGATTTACAGCCTCACCTCAGAAACCCTATACAGACTCCATGGCACACCACCACCATGCCTAATAATTAAGCTGTCCTTTGCATTTGCTGCCATTTACATCTTTAGGCAATAGTAAAAGGCACTAACATAAATTTAAATGTTTTGAGATTTTCTGGACAGTGGTGGAGCTAAACCTGGGGGAAGGTATTAAAAAGTATAGGGTTTAGAACAGCTTTTAGACTGAGATAACCTATATATGAATCCCTGTATCACCATTTGTTTACTTTTCTAACAGTGAGCAAGTAACTTCCCTAGTTACCAGTTTATCCATCAGAAAATTTTGATAAAATATTATCAATACATTTGAAAACCACACATAATGTGCTTAAAACACAGTATGTCATGAAGTAATCATTCAACACACTGTATATAATATGACTAGGAAAAAATCTTACGGCATGGCAAAACCACAGTGAAGAATTGTAAAACAAAACTGACAACATTTTGTTTAATAAGAGGCCTTAAAATTTATACTTGCTACTGAATGGAAACACCACTTGGTCAGTTTGTTGTACTGTGGTGGCTTGTGAGTTGCTTGATTCTAGAAGCTATGCCACCGGTATTTTAAATACCAGCAGTGTCACCCATGGTGGACAGGTTTTAGATGAGCTTCCAGATGAAAACAGACTAGGAAGAAGGAGTGACAAACTACTTCCGAAAATTTAGTCACTGAAAACATTATGAATCGCAGAGAAACCCTGTCAGATAGTGTCGGAAAATGAGCCCCTCAGGTTGGAAGGCACTCAAAAACGCGACTGGGGAAGAGTTGCATCCTCAAAGTAGAGTTAACCGTGATGATACTAATGGAGTAAAGCCCATGGGACCTTCATTTGCTAATGGGGCACAACTCAAAATGAAAAGAAACAGCTGCAAACTGCCATTAATCAAAACATGGAATGTATAAAGTATGAATCTAGGAAAAGTGCAAATTGTCAAAAATGAAATGGAACACATAAACATCGATATCTTAGGCATTAGTGAGCTGAAATGAACTGGTAACTGGCCATTTTGAATCTGACAACAACAAGGTTTACTATGCTGGGAACGACAAACTGAAGAGAAATGGTGTTGCATTTACTGTCAAAAAGAACATATCCAGATCAGTCATGAGGTACAGTGCTGTCTGTGATAGGATAATATCCATGCACCTACAGGAAAGCCAAGTTAATACCACTATTATTCAAATTTATGCACCAACCACTGAAGCCAGTGAGGATGAAATAGAAGAATTCGACCAACTTCTTCAATCTGAAATTGATCAAACCTGCAATCAAGATATATTGATCATTACTGGTGACTGGAATGCAAAGGTTGGAAACAAAGAGGAAGGATCAATATGGTGTTGGTGATAGAAATGATGCTGGAGATGGGCATGATAGAATTCTGCTAAATCCATGATTTCTTCATTTCAAATACCTTCTTTAGACAGCATAATAGATGACTATACACATGGACCTTACCAGACAAAATACACAGAACTCAAATAGACTACATCTGTGGAAAGAGACGATGGAAAAGCTAGATATCATCAGTCAACACAAGGCCAGGGGCAGACTGAGGAACAGATCATCAATTACTCATATGCAAATTCAAACTGAAGCTGAAGAAAATGAAAAGTTCACGAGAGCCAAAATATGACCTTGAATATAACCCACCTGAATTTAGAGATCATCTAAAGAACAGATTTGATACATTAAACACTAAAGACTGAAGACCAGAAGAGTTGAGGGATGACATCAAGAACATCATACAGGAAGAAAGCAAAAAGTCACTGAGAAGACAAGAAAGAAGGAAAAGATCAAAATGGATGTCAGAAGTGACACTGAAACTTGCTCTCCAGTATAGAGATGCTAAAGCAAATGGAAGAAATGAGGAGGTACAAGAGCTTAACAGAGGAGGTACAAGAGCGAAACAGAAAATTTCAAAGGTCAGTTCAATAAGACAAAGTCAAATAAGATCTGGAGTCAGAAAACCAAAAAGGAAGAACACACTCAGCATTTCTCAAGCTGAGGAAACTGAAAAAAAAATTTAAGCCTCGACTTTCATTATTTAACAATTCTCGGAGCAAATTATTGAATGATGCAGAAAGCATCAAAAGAAGATGGAAGAAAAACACAGAGTTACTGTACCAAAGGGAAAAGTTACTGTTAACAACCGTTTTAAGAGGTAGCATATGATCAATAGCCAATGATACCGAAGGAGGAAGTCCAAGGTGCACTGAGGGAATTGGCAAAGATCAAGGCAGCAGGAATTGATGGAATACAAATTGAAATCTTTCAAGAAAGTGAGGCAGGACTGGAGGCATTCACTCATCTATGCCAAGAAATTTGGAAGACAACTATCTGGCCGACTGATTGGAAGAGATCCATATTTGTGCCCATTCCAAAGAGAGGTGACTCAACTGAATGTGGAAATCATCGGACAATCTCTTTGACAGCCCATGTGAGTAAAGTTTTACTAAAGGTAATACAGAAATGGCTGCAAGCATACATTGACAGAGAACTTCCAGAGGTTCAAGCCGGAATCAGAAGAGGACATGGAACAAGGGATATCATTGCTGATGTCCAATGGATCTTGGCTGAAATCAGAGAATACCAGAAAGATGCTTACCTGTGCTTTATTGACTATGCAAAGACTACCGACTGTGTGGATCATGACAAGCTATGGATAACCTTACAAAGTATGAGTATTCCAAACACTTAATTGTGCTCATGAGGAATCTGTACATGGACCAACAGGTAGTTGTTCTAACAGAACATGGGAACACTGAATGTTTTAAAATTCAGAAAGGTTGCAACAGGGTTGTATTCTTTCACCATACTTATTCAACCTGTATGCTGAGCAAATAATCCGAGGAGC